AAGTAAAACTGAATGCTGGGTGCTGTGAGTCATCCTAATGAACCATCAAATCCTGGGTATTGTGTTAGTCTGGGTACCCAAAAAAACAGAACCTGTAGCATGGAGACATTATATGAATATATATGATAAACATATTTTATGTACATATATATAACATTTTATTACTACAAAGTATTGGCTCATGTGATTATGGAGGTCTAAGATTTGCAGTCCGAGAACTGATGGGGTATTCATTCCAGTTTGAGTCCAAGGCAGAAGACAGTTTTCCATCTGGAAGATAGGCAAAGAGAAAGAATTCTTTCTCAGGCTTTCATTTTGTTTAGACTGTCAAGGTATTGGGTAAGGCTCATCCACTTTGGGGAGGGCAATCTTCTTTATTTAGTCCGCAATGTTAATTTCATCCAGAATCACCGTGTCAGACACACCCGGAGATAATGTTTAACTGAAGTGCTGTGACACAGTCAAGTTTACATATCATGGGGGCAGTCTTGGGACCCCTCCATATAGTACTATTTCAGCTTCAGCCCTGTACAGACTAGAAAATCAGCCATTCCCAGTCCTGAACTCTTTCCAGGACTAGCCTTAACTCTCATCAATAAAACTGGGTGTATTATACCCTACCTCCAACATTGTTATGAAGAATAAATAAGAAACTACATTTATTCACTTCATTCAATAAGTTACCTACCCTGTGCCAGGCATGGTGTTAGTCAGATGGTGGCATGAGATGTGGTACTAGGGTTTAGTAAGAGCTGGATCATGTAGGGCTTGGGAGACCATAGTAAGAATTTCAGATTTTGTTCTAAATGTAATGGGTGGCTAAACCTCCTTGAAGTGGCTAAAGGAGGTTTAGCACTGAGCCTGGTGTATAGTAAGCATCTAATACATCCTATTGAGGTTATCACCAGGATGTCCTAGCAGAAATTCAGTTTCAACGTATCTAAAAATTGTCAGGGGAGTAACCTCCAAGTCAGTGGGTAGCACTCACAGCCAGCTAGATGGTAGGAGATGGGGTTTGCTGGACTCCATCCCCTGACTCCATAAACTAGGGTGAAGCTGAGCCACCACCATGTTGACCTTAAAAATAAGATGAACACAGTCCTCTTCCTTTTTTTTTTTTTTTAATTGGCTTCCACTTGCTGCCTGGTCTCTACTCAGGTGACGCTGTCTGCTGTTAGGACAGACTGCATTGGGCTACATGCTAGCCAACATTTTTTTCTCTCAAGTCTCCCTTTTTTCTTCCTCTCAGCCTTGTAAACTCTAAAGGCTGTATCTAATTATCAATTGGGAAGGACTCATATCTGCCACCTTCTATCTTGGTTTATTTCCTCCTTCCATCTGGGGTACTCTGTCCAGTGAATATTTTGTTAATCATTGAGCATTTTCTGGAGCATCTGGATTCATGTCTGTCTAAGTACATTAACTTTGAATAATCCTTTGAAGAAACTCAAACGAATCCTCATTGGTCTTTTGTTGAAGTTCTAGTATCTTACCAAAACATTCTTGCTTAGTCATTCCTTTCCTTTGTCCTGATAATAAGCACTTCATGTAGTGTTCTAGTCTTTCCATTCCCTCATCATTGACATCCCATAACAGGGTAGGGAGAGGGGCATCCCACAACCCCCAAACCTGCCCACACTAAATAGGTTCTGCCATCTGCCACATCAAGATAAAACATACTGTAGTGCGTAAGACCTTTAATGGTAAGGAATTTTTTTTTTTAAGGTTTGTTTTTATTTATTTATGCATACAAGAACTGGGGTGTAAGTCAGAGGTACCGGGGAGGGGGAACGGTGAGAGGATCCACCAGAGACAGAGTGGGGAGCAGAACAGGCAGATCTAGTGAAATACACTGCTGAGGGGAGCAGCGGGCGAGACAGGAGAGGTCTGGGTCATCTCCCTGGCCAGGCATCAAACTCATGCCACAGTGGCTGGCAATAGCTTGGTAGCGATGAGACTTTAACTCCTGCGCCACCATGGAGGCCCTATTGGTAAGGAATTTTAATACAATTAGTGTGCAGCAAAGAGAAGGGAAAGAATGTAGTTTTCAAATCAAGCACCTGAAGTTACCCACCCCATTGTGGGTTGGCCCAAAGCAGGGCCACTGAGGCCCGAAAGCCTGCCACAAATCTAAGGCACCTCCTGGTGGAGACCCATAGGAAAGGGTTAGAAACAGCCAGGCAAGTCTGGAAGGGAAAGAACAGAATCAAAGTCAGGATAAAAGCTGCTATTGTTAATCTCCCCACAGGTCTCTCTCCCACATCTGTTTCACCCAGTCCATGACCAAGAAGCAAGTCCAGTTTCTTCACATGTCTTCTGCTCCATATGCCTCCTCCAGGTGTCCTGCCTCTGCATCCTTCTTCCTTCCTTCTCCAGTCTACTCTCCAGCTTCTCTCTGCTCAGCTTCACCCTCCCTTGGGAGGGGCAGAGAACCTGGAACTTCCCCTTTTCCTGGGCACCCTTTGTGCCATCAAATGTGCCTCTGGCTTTCCTAAATATAATTTATGGAGGGACATAATGGCTTGTGTATATGAGAGTTTGTCCCATCTACTGAGCTTTTATAAAGTTTCTTCAACTGCAAATAACATGGTAGTTCCAAGATCCATCAGTAGGCTCTTCTCCCCCCACCCCCCGACTCTGTTGTGTGCATAGGCCATGCAGTGCTATATTAAAAAAAAAAAAGCAAAAACTTGCTTCCTAAGGCATGAACTTACAATTCAATTTATTCCAGTCAGCTACAATTCATCCGAGCAGACTCTTGCCAGAATAGAAGGCTTACCTCCTTGCAAACCAAAAATGTGCATGCATGCATGCACACCCCCCACCCCCAAGAAGTCCCCTGAAGCAAAAATCTAACCTAAATGTTAGAAATGAGCCCCCTGTATATGCTGATAGGACCTCCCATAAGATCAAAATCAGGGGGCCTCCCTGGTGGCCCAAGGGGTTAAGTGCAGCACTGTGAAGTGCTATTGGCAGCCACTGCAGCAGGCATGAGTTCGATCCCCGGCCAGGGAGCTGACTCACATGGCACAGCAGACCTCTCCTGTCTCACCCACTGCTCCCCTCAGCAGTGTATTGTCAGACAAGCTGCCTGTTCTGTTTCCTACTCTGTCTCTGGTGAATCCTCTCACTGCCCCCCCCCACCCCGCACCTCTGGCCTGTACCCCAGTTCATGTATGCAGAAATAAATCTTTAAAAAAAAAAAAATCAAAATCAGACTTTACTAGATGACTCAAACCGAAACTTGAAAGAACTGCCTAAAGGTTTAACTCATGTCTAAATCAAAATATGCAGAAAACTCTACTGAAGTAAAACCCAATTTCTCCAAAATAGAAACAGAAATCCCTCCCAGTTCTGGTGGTGAACTCAAGGAAGTGTTCCTTGGGCTGGGCAGCCATGAGTGTCTGGCCTCACGACAGGTGCCAAGCTGCTAGAAGGCAAACTTGGGGGAAAATAGAGGATAGAGGAGTTATCCCCTCATGCTTAAGAATACTGACAAGCAGAAATTTAAAAGGATTTATTTACATAGGAAGTGAGAGGAGGGAAATCTAAGGGAAAGTTTATTGCCTGGTTTGTGCCCAGATGCCTCTGTCCTGATGGCAAATAGTGTCAGCTGAGTGAAGACCAGCAGCCCCAGTTCATGGCGTCTGGAAAGCTTCACCTTCTGCCATTGAGTTGGCTGATTATGCCATCCACTGGCTTTTGGGTTGCTCCTGTTTCTTCCTCTTAACAAAAATCAAACTCAGCCATCTATTTTCTGTAATCTTTCTCTAAGTCAACCGCTTCTGAGGCCCCAGTTCTTTTTCAATTATCTTAATTCCTCTCATTCTTTTGCCACTTTGTCTCATATTTGATTCTGAGTTAATTTATCTTGCTGAAACTATTTCTTCCAATTAAACTAGGAATAATATCTCATAAGATTAAGAGATTAAAGGAGCTAAATACATATAAATTGTTTAGCATGTCTCACATGTAAAAACTTACTAAAAGTTGACTTTTACAACTTTGGGCTAGGACTTGGGTATATATAAAAGACCAAGAGGGAGTTTTTTGGCTTGGGGAAAAAAAAAGTTCGGGCTACCTAGGATTGTTCTCGGAGCTCAGCTTTGACTCACTTGATACAGCCCCATTCTGCCAACAGGATAAGGCCCAGGATTCTTAGGAAACAGATATTCAAGTTGCCCTACCTTCCAGTTTATTTACTTGCATCACAGACCCAATGAAAGCATTTAGTATTACATAAACGCTCCTTTGGGTTGTGACTGCTCTGTCTGGAAACCCCCCATCTTATGCAGGCATCCTCTCTGAAGCCTAGTTCACAGCCACAAAACTCTTGTATTATTTATTCAGCAAGTATTTATCAGTACCTACTATGTCCTAGGACTGTCCAAAGTGGTTGAGATACATATTATTAAGACAAAACTCCTGTTCTCAAAGCATCTATACTAGTGGGGAAGACAGAAGAAAACCTCTACCTCCAGTAAGTGGTGAGTATGGTGAAGACTACATACACACATATCCATCCTAGCAAGTTTAAGGGCTGGAGCTGTGTCTAACTCAAAAATCTTTGTATCCTTATATATTTGTAGATGCTTAATATTTTTGAATAAATGATATTCTGGAAATTTTAATTCTGTCAAGTAATGGTTAGAAGATATTTTTCTGTCTACACATAATTACTGTAGTGGGCTGGGTATAGAGTATAGGCTCTGAGTTCAAGTATTAGGTCCAAATGGAGACTGCTAATCCCTTCATCTAGATACTAATAACAAAGTGGGACCAACAGAAGAGTACCTACCATATAGGGCCTTAATGAGAGTAGAGTTCTTGACATAAGGGAAGTACTTAATGATATATGCACTTTTTTAAAAATACCTATTAACACTTCTATGAGAATACAAGTATTTTAGGAAGCTTCTGAAAAAGAAACTGGAGCAAAGGTCTTTTTAGAAATCACTAAATGAAAAAAAAAAGTTTAAAGAATCCAAGAAAAGATCCAGGTTTTCTTCCCATGAAATTTATTGAGCATAACAAAATTCTATATACAAAGTAACCCAGACCTGCTGCTTCAAAACATAGTTTCATACTGATATTTCATACTGCTGAAGACCAGCCTTGGCAATATGTCGTGTCAGGAGTCCCTGAAAGGATGAGACGGCGTTGGTGAAACTCTGGGGCTAAGGGGAAGGGGATGAGGTAGTCAGGAGACACTGACGAGGTGCAAGTCTCTTCTACTGAGGGGAACAGCAGGTCTTTATTCATTTTTAGCAAGAAGTAAAATTATATCATCATAGAAGCAAAGCAGAAACAATCAGTATATTCTTTTCCCATGTACTACTGGCTCCTGTGGGTCTCAGCAAGATGGTAGCCTTCAAGGTTAATAGATAAAAAAAAATAAACCTTACACTAAAATTCATTATTTTAGCTTAGACAATTACCTAAGACAGCCAATAGCCGTCGGTACACTCCTATCAGCTAAAGCCTAAGCATCAAAAGACTCTTCTATTCATGTGGCCTTCAGCTGGAGACCAGCTGCTTTCTGGTTATCAGCTAGCAGGGTTTTCTACCAAGAAACTTCTTAATACAGTTAACTTCATTTAAAAACTTTCCTAAGAAACTTCTAAAAAAAAGCAAAAGAAGGATTTACTATAATTGTCCTGGGTTGCTTGTCAGGCATGCTCATGTATAACAAAATTCATTCCCATTGTCAGGCAGGCCAAATTTACAATGTTTAATTTTTAAGCAGGTATTTCTTAGTGCCATTTACTTACAGTATTCTACACGTATAATTTATTGCCCAATGTACTTTCTGAGAAGTTTTTTCTTATATGACCAAGAACAAAAAAAACAAAGGGATGCTTATAGGTTATAGATTAATCTTCAGCCCCACAGTGTGAGGCTCTTTGGAAATCTTCAGCCCCATGGTGTGAGGCCCTTTTTCTTAGCTGCTTGCCAGTGTCTTACATGGTTAGGGCAGCAAGGCCCCCTGCAGCATCACACTAACATTTTATATAGTTTATAGAGTGTCAAAAAGCAGCTTACTCTAAAATTAGAAGTGCCCAATGTACATTAAATAGATGGCCTAACTACCGGAACTTGAATACTTGTGTAAAATGATTGACACATGTCAGCGCTTAGTGTCTGTGGCAGGCTGCTGCAGGGATGACCTGGGTCATCAAGAGGCCATTTTGTGCACTGCCACTGTGATGCCATCATGTTTCTGGATCATAATGTTCCTGAAAGGCAGAGAGGAAGACACTCAGTAAAATGTTATAGATGCTGTTTGGTTTAGTTTTTCATTACTATATATAAAAGCAGTATAGGATGATAACAAAACATTTGGTAAATACAAAAAAATGTATGAAATGAATCCTGTAAACCTACCACTCAAAGAAAAGCAACCACTAATTTTCTGTTTTAAAAATTTGCGTGTGTATTTTTCTATATTTATATACATTTATATACTATATTTACACTACATTTTTTCTTTTACAAAACATCATTCTGTACAGTTTCTGTTTTCTATTACCCCAGTACACTTGGAATAGCTTCCTTGTCTCTATTAATAGAGATGTAGTTTTTGTTCTTTGATTAGTTTTCCTCAATGCTATTTATTACTTTTTTCTTGAAAATTCTTACTCTTCTTTTAAATGTCATTGATTTAAAGCACATTAGCTTTACAGATCAGTTTATCTGCACCTGTGGTCTACAGGGTTAAGAACCTCCCTCAGAGTACTTTAAATGAGAAATAACTGATGAATGCAGGGCCCCAGTCAGGTTTCTCAGATTTTTCTGGGGGAAAAAGGGTGGGGGGGAGGAACCTATTGACATCTACTTACCCATTATCTGATTCTAGGCATACCACAGGAATATCTGTAGGGTCTGAGGTTAGCTTAGCTGCTTGCTGAGCTAGAACAGATATCACCCCAGCATGTTCATCTGACAGGGTCCCACGGCCTAGAAGACAGACGACATCTTGTCACCTGATTGTTTCTGAGTCAAGCTAGAATAGTACCTCATTGAATGATTTCCCAAAAGAACGTTTAGCTCATGATCTAGGTGCTGAGTTGAAATGACCTGATACTCAGCTGAGTCCAGCAATGAGGAAATCTGACACTAAATTTGTAAAGTCATTCCCATCACCATATCTCAACACCTTTCCGAGAATGTAGGAAGCTATAATTTAAATCAATCTGAAAGTCATAAAATTTTAACAGGAATGTTACTGAAACAAGAACTTCAGAGGTGGGATTGACAAAAAAGTCAATAATGGGCAAAAAGTCTTGTTGAAACTATTCATGAAAAATATGATTTGTTTTCACTGTGCTTAGCTTTAAGGAGATAAGTCTTTACGCAGGAGTTCAGCTATAAAATCACCTCAACAGCGTATGTGGATATTCTGTGAGCACTTACTTCCACTAGAAAACTGGCTCTTTTCAAACAGCAACACAAAATGACTTCTTATTAATGCTTAACCTTAGCTAGTTAACTAAATCTTGGGTCTCAGGTATGAAAAGGAACAACTACTGTTTGCAATATATATGCCATGTAAAGGCAACACAAGCCTAACTGAAACTAAGGTAAAAGTGACTGATTAGCTATTACGTAAAAACATTACCTGAGACACACACAGCAATCTTTTGAGCCTTAAATGTTTACTGAAAAATCATTTAGAGTTCTGCACTTGAATTTTGGTCTCCCCATTAGCGAATCTGGAAAGTACCTCAAAAGGAAAAAAATCTGCCCTTTTCCTTCCAACTAACTGATTTGTATATAAAACATAACTGAGTTATACAACTTGCCTCTTTCAGTTACCCTCCCATCCAAAATTCAGAGCTTTAAAAATTCCTACATTAAGAAGTCCTAGGTTTGCTGTTGTGACAACAGCAAATTACTTTTCCCCCCCTATATTTCTTTATCTGTAATTGTTACCATTACTGAGCATTATATCTGGGTTCTGTTCTTAGTATTTTACAAATACATAATTTTAGTGTTGTGATTAAGAGGCACTGGAGTCACCCTTAAGTAAGTCCTAGCTCACTGTGCACTAGCTGGCCCTTGGGCAAGTTAATCTGTTCTTTATCTACATCACAGGTTATTAGGAAAATCAAATACCTTGGTATAAAGCACCTAGAATGGTGCCTGGCACAAAGTAAGAGCTCAGTAAATTTTAAGATTATTAAACAATAACCCAGTAAAGAAACTAAGACTCGGGAAGGTTCTTTTTGGGACAAGTTCACACTAGCAAACAGGTGAGCAGGAGGTTGCATCCAGATATGTCCAGCTCTGATGTCCCTGTTTTTACTTCTCCATTGTTGTTAAATATATTGGACTAAACAACAGCACCATCCATCTTACAGGGTCATTGTGAAAATGAGATAGTTGTATATAAAGCTTAGCAGTCCCAGCGTATGGCACATATTGAATACCTGGTACTGCTGTCATCTGAAATCTTTCCAGACCCAATTAAAATGACTCCCAACTCTATTTTAATAGAAACAGCTGTTTCTACAGAGCTAGTACTGCAAGGAACAGTTCTACCTGCATAAATACCAATTGAAAGTTTTCAGTCTTACAGTTTTGTTACTTGGATATTCTCTCTCCCCTCACAGAAGTACCCAGAAAGTAGCAGGTTGGCAGGAAGTGAAAACTAGAAGTAACAGTACACCAGGTCAGCAACAAATGCTGTATAATCCACCAAACGTTGACACGAGATACTTACAGCCCAAATTAAGTCCTTGTGAATCTGTGCACAGGACTCCAACAATGGAAGGATTCTTCATTCTAAATCCAGGGACGCAGGAGGAATGAAGCAAATATGAGAAACATGAATTAACACAATTACAGGCTTTCTGGTAGCAGGCAATGTTGTAAGTACTTTAAATCAGTGCCTATCAACCCCTTTTTCATTATCTCACCGCCCCAAAATTAAACTACAATTAGTTTAAATATTTAATTTCTTACTGTAACAGGGTGGTCCCCAGGAAAAGGGGAGGTTCCCCTGTAACATGAGAAAATATTCTGTCGGGCACCTCTGATTTTGGAGGACCACAAACACTAGTATTCTAGAATTTCTGTCCCTTTGTTGAAAATGCACGCAAGAGCATGCACTAATTAAAACAACTTGCAAAACGGGTTGTCGTCTCCCGGAGGCAGGAAGGGAAGCAGCCGGCCACTGGTGCGAGGGCGGTGTTTAACTGTACGTCTTCTTAAACTTTACAATTTTGATCTCACGTAGTCATTCGAAGAACTTAAGGGATGTTTCCCACCTCGAGCACCGCGTCACCGGCCGCCCGGAAGGGGAGACGGGCGTTTACGCTGCAGTGCCCGGCTCTGCACAGCGAGTCACCCCACCCCGTCCAGACCCACTTCCTGCACGTCGTGGGCTACGCCCGGGGCGCGGGCCTCGGGCTCGGGCTGTGCGGCCTCTGCGTGTGGGGTGCCAGCCCTGCCCGGAGCCCCGGCCCCGCCGGGCGACCGCCGCCCCACCCATCACCCACAAGCCTGTTGCGCGAGCGGCGTCCCCGGGACGGCCCGGCCCGCACGCGCCCCCTTCCCGGCCGAGCGCCCCCCGCGCTACTCACGTGTCCTCCAGGTGCTGCTCCAGGGTCGCCTCCATCCCGCCCGCCGCGGCCCGTCCCGGCCTCCCAGCCGCAGGCCTCCGGCGCCGGGTCACGTGACGCGGGCGGGCGCGCCGGGACGGCGCCTGCGAAGGGACAAACATCGCGGCGCGAGTTCCGCGTTGCGCGCGGGGAGCCGCCCCCCTCCCGGAGCTGACCCCCGGGGCGCCCCTCCGGCTCGGGCGGCGCGGGTTCTCCCCCTCCCGGCTGGGGGCCTGTGGCCGGGCCTCGGAGCCTCGCCTCCTAGCCGATCCCTGTCGCGGGGATGTTTGGTTTTTGTCTTCCAGTCCAACCCCTCGGAACCAGGGGTCGGATTTTAGATTCTGCGACGGTCGGCAGGTCAGGCAGGGCCAGGCCAGGCGGGTCCAGGCAGGCGGGGCGGGGGAGACAGGCCAGGTGCGGGGGGCAGGCCAGGCGAGGGGGGGCAGGCCAGGTGGGGGGGCTAGGCCAGGCCGGGGGGGGGGGCAGGCCAGGGGCGGGGGCAGGGCCAGGTGGGGGGCCAGGACGGGAACAGCCCCTGGCCGCGGCGACGTGCCCACGGGCTTGCCGGGCAAAGACGCGGGGACAGCGAGCAAGGGAGCAGGTGCAACGAAGTGAAAACCCCGAGCCAGGTATTGGGAAAGTGATGGGGTCTTAACAAAGGCAGTGGAAAGTCTGGGGGAAGAAGGTGGCTCTTGTAGAGGGAACTGGGTAGAACAACTTAAAAATAACTTTAAAAATTCATAACAGCAGTTGTAAAAATAAGGAAAAGTCACTCATGCTCTCAGTCAAGAGACGACTATTAATTTCTTGGAGAATCTCTTCGGCCAATTGGCATCGCAAATGAATACTTCTAATGCTTTCTTTCCTCTTTTGAGCAAAATCGACGTATATATTGGACATGCAATTCTGTAGCTGACCTCGCGGGCTATCAATTAAAATTACAACAGTCATTTTGCACTTTGCTCAGCTGAACGACGCTGGGAGACAGAAAACGCATTAGGAAGGGAAATCCCTAGTCACCAAGGGAACCTGGCCGGGTCCACACGACCAAGGGGGTGGGGGGCGCTCTCAGGAAATGCAAAAACACGGCAAATAGAACCCAGAAGGACACCTGTGCAGAGGCCCACGGAAACCTGAGAGAGAGACCGATTCCCTCGTCATGAAAAATCGTGATGACAAGTTCTAAAGCAGAGCCCCAAATCCTCCCTAGGGGCGGACGACCTCTTCTCTCCTGCCGGCTGCTTCTCTCCGCAGTATATTTCAATAAATCTGCCTTTTCTACTCTCTGCTCTGTCTCCGGTGAATTCTTTCACACACACACCCCTCGCGTGCCTCTGGTCTCACCCTGACATTAATCTGCCACAGCCCTTTTTCACAGAATTTAGCATAAATGCCTTTCCACATCCTTAGTGTTCAACTACATCCTTTCTAGTATTTGCGAAACATTCCATGTTATATCTGTACCTTAAATGACTTGTCCAGCCCCTTATTAATGTGAAGTTAAAGATTTTTGTGTAGTGGTATTATAAATGCTGGTGAATTTTTGTAGCTAAACATTTATGCAGCTTAAACTTTTTCTTATAAATAAGTAGGATAGAATTACTCAATGAAGGGCCTCCCTGGTGGTGCAAGGGGTTAAGTAAGCACCGCACTATGAAGCAATAGCAGCCTCTGCAGCACAAGTTCAATCCCCAGCCTGCCAGGGAGCAACCCACATGGCGAAGCAGACCTCCTATCGTGCCCACTGCTCCCCTCAGCAGTATATTTTGGTCTGTCTGCCTGTTCTGCTCCCCACTCTGTCTCTGGTGGATCCTCTCACCACCACCCCCCCACACCTCTGGCCTGTACCCCAGCTCTTAAATGCATAAATAAATAAATCTTTAAAAAAATTACTCAATGAATATGGACATTTTCAAGACTTTTTAAGGTGGTAGCATTTTGGAAATGGGCTGTCCCTTCCCACACAAGTTATTTCCTGCTCCCTGTGCTTGAGTCTCCTACCATCACCTCCTGGTCTTCCTTTTCTCCAGCCGCCCCACCACCAGTTTTACTCACAGCTCACCTTCTGAGCTGAGGTCCAGCCTCAAAGCTCCTCCGAACTTGAACTCAGAGTCCTTTCACTTCCCTATCTGTGATAGTGAAACTTGCAGCTTCCTTAAAAACCTAGGGTGGGTGCTGTAATTCAGGAATTTGGGGACTCTTGTCTAGAGAAATATTTATGTTAAGTGAATGGGAACATTTAAATTTTAGAAAAAAGTAGTTCAAAACTACCTTTAAAAGAAAGCTTCACAAAATGTTAGGGCTGTCTAGTTGAAGTCAACTTCGCCCCAATTAACTGGGGAGTCAGCCTGCTCTCCGCCTGTGTCCAGGGGGCGTGAGCCCTTCGCTGCAGCAGCGCCCCCTTGTGGCCATCTTCGATGTAACACTTTGCTGGGCTAGGGCTGTTCTGCTCTTTCACCCCCCAGGCCAGCAGTGCCTGCCAGCAGACACCTAATGTGAAACACAACCTTAATTTAAAATGGAGCAACATTAGAAAAGTTAATAGATGAAATTAGTTTCAAGAATATATTTCAGTTATCCAAATTGTTATTTCAACATGTAATCAATTAAACTTTTTCCTGTCATTTTCTTTTTCTTTTATTTATGCGTACAAGATTTATTTTATTTATTTATTCATACAAGAACTGGGGTGTAGGCCAGAGTTGCGAGGGGTGAGAGGATTCACTAGAGACAGAGTGGGGAGCAGAACAGGCAGAACAGATTGAAACACACTGATGAGGGGAGCAGCGGGTGAGACAGGAGAGGTCTGCAGAGCCATGTGGGTCAGCTCCCTGGCTGAGGATTGAACTCATGCCACAGTGGCAGGGGATAACTTGATAGGGCTGAGACTTTAACCCTTGAGCCACCAGGGAGGCCCTTTCCTGTAAATTTCAAAGTCCAGTCTATATTTTTATAGTGATAGTACATTTCAGTTCACACTATACACAGTAGCCTGTGTACTGGCCAGTGCAGCCCCTGGTATCTGATTGTCTCAAAGTCAGATCAATGATTAAAAGATTCTCAGAAAAGCTGATGAACCAAGCAAGTAGGAAGAGGGTGACTGACCGCCTTTCCTCCCAGGCATCCTCGCCACTCCACCGGTGGGGGCTGTCACAGCACAGCTCCCTGTTTCGGCCCCTCCCAGGTGGCTTTTGAGCGCTGGGGCTGGGTGGTGGCTGGAGGAGGTGTTTTCTGCTTCCTTCTTGGGGTGGGGGAGGGGGTGTTCTTGATGACTCTTCAGTCTTAGTTCTGAGTGCTGATGGCCATTTCTGGGTGATGGGCAAAGTTTCATGACACCCATATTAGATTACCTGCTTCACTGTAGTGTAATTTATTATATGTTTGCTTTTCAAAGACAGGTATTGTGTCTTCTCCATTTCTGCATTAGGGAGCACAACAGGAATCCTGTAAGTATTTATTGAAGAATCTTGATGGTCTTTTGGGGAAAAGACTGTGTAATATGAAGTATCTTGAAGTCCTGACCTTGAACTACCTTTATCCTCTCCCTTCCCTCCTCCTTCCATAAACATTCTAGGAAAATGAATATGGGAGGGGAGAGTTCCTCAGAGAATGCCGCACCCACATCCTGTCTGGGAGGTGGGAGACAGAAGGGGAAGCTGACCTTTGTTGAATTGGTCATCGCACTGCTGTTAGCCCAAGTGACCCTAATTCCTCTTTTGACCTTTTAGAAGCAGGATATTCCTGGGGGTGTCCGTTTAAGACATATATTTCTGGGAGAGGATCTAGCTCTCCTTGGGGTGCTGAAGGGCCACCCCCATTGGGCACTCGCGTGCATATTTTAAGGTCAGGGCTTGTGGTGGGCTGAGCTCCAAGCCTGGCTGGGGAATTGACCCTCAAGTGCCACCAGGGGGCGCCAGGGCATGGGAAAACCCGGTGAAGCTAGAGGCTCCCAGGTCAGAGGAGGGAGGCACAGGCCTTTCGAGTTGGCGTGGTTTGGAAAGGCTCGAGCAAGAGAGGTGCCTTGGGGTGGGACAGGTGTAGAGTTGAATCCGGCTTGGAAGCTGCCTTCCTTGGACCTTGGAGCCTCAGAAGACTCACCTGGCTGTAGGAAGGAATATACAAGGTACATGATATAAAAGGGGCTGGGCCCTGCGGGCATGGATACGCTTTGTTAAACCTGAGCAAGGAGACTCGGTGGTTTCCTCAAATTTCTTACAATCTGGTGAAGGTAAAGAGGCGACTGATGGCTACCGGCCTCCGGCTGCTGTCAAACTGTGCCAAATGAGGCCATTAAATTTGTCTCACTCTACTTTTCTGTGGGATAAAAATTACAAAAGAAAGTAAGGAAAAAAAGCCACCTGAGGTCCTAGCCCCAATGAAAGATTGTGAGAGAACTGAGCAGAATGACATGGGCCCGCATAGGTGGAGATGGGGAAAGCGTATTTCAAGGTTCCCAAGAGTCTTGTCAGCTGAATCATCTCAGTCCCTGTGAAGTTGGGGACAGGGCCTGGTGGTGGGCATCTGCCTTCTGACAGTCCGAGGCCTCTGACTCCCAGTCACCACAGCAGCGATGCCTTCCACAGTTCACTGGCCCAGTTCACAGGCCTTCTGAGTCCTCACAACCTCTTTGAAGTTGCTGCTGTCACTGGTCCCCCTTTATAGTGACACAAACCCCAAGGCCTGGAGGATGAATTCTTGCTTGAGATCACCCTGCTTGCAGGTGGCAGAGCCTCACCATGAACCCCCTGACTACACTGCGCTTCTCTCACTTCTTCAGCACAATCCTGGACACACGAGAAAGCTCGGGATCTCGTATTCTCTAAAGAAGAAACCTCAGGCTGGGGAAGTAGTCGATTTAGAACTTGAACTTTGGAGGCTTCATCTTCTGTCCAAAGATCCGATGAGATTGTGCTGCCGGAGGCTGCTAAGACGTTCATTTGAACCCAGTTCAGGGCCATTCATTGTTGTAGGTTGAATTGTGCCCCCCCCTGAAATTCACGTGTTGAAGTCCTAACCCCCAGGACTTCAGAACATGACCTTATTTGGAGACACGGTCTTTACAG